AGTCACAAGCGGGCTGGTGTCTTCAAGAGTATGAAGAACATTTTACAGGAGCACAGAATCGATGTTACTGGTCTTCGTGCACAGTGTGATATGGACTTCAAGTGCGAGCCACCTACATTGAACTGCTGCTGCCATTGGATTCTCTTTAATCAGCCAGATTTTGCAAAGGTCAAATTCTGCCTTGAAACTCACTGTGAAAAGCAAGGCTTCCGGGCTCTCTTCTTTCCAAAGTTTCATTGCGAACTCAATCCGATTGAGCAGTGTTGGAGGCACAGCAAGCATGAATACCGCATGTATCCAGAGTCATCACTCAAGGCCGACTTAGAGTGTAATGTTGTAAAGGCTCTCAGAACAGTTAGCGTTATCTCCATATGTCGATTTTTCACCTGTATGTGGCGCTTCATAGATGGATACAGGTATGGCCTCACAGGCAAGGTGGTGGCATATGCCGAGAAGAAGTACTGTGGCCATCGAGCTCTTCCCCGCTTGATCTTGAAGGAACTCGAGCTTGAGGGTCAGCTTGAGGTAGTGGCATAGAATATAAACTCATTCCTTTAGAATGCATTTCTTATGCATTAATCACTATTACTGTTCTCCTTCCCAATCTCCAACCTCCTATCGAGCAGATGATGTATTACACCGACACGTGTTTAAAGCTTAGATTATCTTATTTGGCCAATCACGTGATTGTCATGCTGTAACGAAACTAAAGAGAAGTGAACTGGGTCTATCTTATCTGTGGAACATGCACACTTTAACCACTAAGCCATAGAGCTCACATAAACTTTACACTTCAATGTTTCTATATACACTCAGCTAACAACTTACAAATAATTTCTAAGTGCAATTTAGAAGTTTAACACATATTCACACTTCTACGTCTAAATATAACTATTGCCCTTGTATATAATGCTAGATGTACAATATTTGATACAACCATCATTTGCTAATATAATAACATTTAATATATACAGTGGCTTTTTGCAATAGATTATTAACTATTGCTTTAGCTACTAAATCTGCTAGTTAAAATAACATGTTGTTAGTATGCATATAGTACCAGATAAAGTGCAGAATAAATATGACATTTTATAACACAAATACAGTTGTATATAGCTTATTAGCTAGTACTTAGCAAAAAAAAAACTATTTGCTGTTCTCGCAATAGAACATGGATGCTAGTCTATGTATATAAAATATAATAGTAATGTTAAAATCTGTATATATTATCGTTTGCTCTAAAACTAGCATTTTATTCTACAACTTGTGTTTACAAAATGTGTATTACTGCATTCTATGACAATTAGCAGTTTGAAATATGAGATATAAACTTAAAAGCTTCTTTTAAATGATCTATTTGTATTTTAAAGATGTTAGATATATTTGGACATTTAATTGGCGCTTAAATAATGTTTTAATATATATTTAAAACTGCTTCATTATCAAATATAGTTTAATAAAATGTTACAAATTATACTTACTTTTATAGCTTACTTTAAATACTAATAACATTTAGCTAATATTACTGGTAATTACATTTATTTGAACTACAAACACAATAATTACATTAGAAACTAAAATAAATAACTATAAGAGCAAATAATAAAGATCGGCACAAGTTAAAACTAAATTCATTAATAGTAGTCAAAGTTAAAAAAGTTAACAAAAGCCATTTAAAGCTGTAGATGACTTTATACATACTACAAAATATACAATAACTATTTAAAATAATGCACAACATTACAAAGAAAGATCAAAGTTTTGCTACATTTTTTTTTACAATTGCTATGGTAAACTAAATAATATATATATAACTTTTACACTAGAATACTAGTAGCATCTTTCTGAGGTATTATTTTAATACAAATACTGAGTGTGCTAAAAATGTGGCAAAAATGGCTGGAAAATAGATATATATTATAAGAACTATAAAATACTACAGTTTACTAGATCACATATAACTGTGCTTTAGCAAAATTTTATACTATGTGACACTGCTATAATATATTAAAGATATAACACATTATTGAAATAGCTAAGCTATAAAGATATTTATATCTGTTAAATAATAAAAACATACATGTACACTTATTTCTAAATAGCACTGATAGTAGCTCAAGTATGTATAATATAATATCAAATGTATCTGTTAATAGAGAATATATTGTATATTTACTATAAAAACTTTAAACTTATATTTGCAGAGCAAATTAGTACTAATAGTATACTAATAACAAACAGTGAGCTAATAAGTGTAAGTAATATGTAGCTAACAAATATAATATGCAAAGAACTTAC